GTGGAGATATACACTTCAAAGGGTAAGGTTTCTGTTCAGAAGCATTGTCAGAATGGAGAATGGTCGATGGCTGTTCAGGTGGTTAGCCAGTAGAAGGCAATAACATGTAGACTAAGATGCCCTGAGCTGTCTAGCAGCAAATAATCAATTTAATGCATCATTTTCAGGTTTGGAGAAATGCGTTTAGCCATTCCAGCAGGCTATAACATATGTGACTCAGCCCTTGTTGAATCCCCAAGTTCCATCAACCTTTTGTTGAAACTCTTGCAATTATGACATGCTGGAATTGGCCTCCAGCAGGCCAAGTAATGGAAGACACTGTGTTTCTTCCTATAAGAAACACAGCTGAGCCCTAGGCATTTTGGCTCACAGACTGAAGGGTAGTGGGTTTGATTCTGGTCAAGGGCACGTACTAGCCAGGTTGCGGCCCTTGTGGGAGGCACCCAATCGATGTGTCTTAACATGTGGATGTTGGTGTCTTTCTCTCTGTCTCTCCTCCTCCTTTCCACGTGCTCTAAAAAGTCAATGGAAAAATATCCTCAGGTGATAAGAAAGAAAAAAGAGAAGCACAACTGAGGCTGGAAAATATAAGTAACTATAGGTCTTTTCGCTTTTCAGCACACATGTGAGTGAACATTTGATATAAATAAGATTTTATATAAATAAGATGAAACTTAGTGAGGGGCAAACTGCTTTTCTGACAGGACTTAGAATGAAACATAGCAAATCACTTTGCTACCACCTCTTCATACCTATTTCACTAGCTGGCCCGGCCCAGGCCAAGGCACAGCTGCACAGCTTGAGGGGTTGTTCAAGGTAAAGGAAGAGGAAAAACACAAATGAATAAAATCACCAACTTAAAAGAGAAATACCTGGCTCAATGTGGGTTTCTTTCCCCAGAGGATACTATTATGTTTATATTATGAAATAAGCCGAGTCCATTGGGAACCCCTTATTATTAGGTTTCCTCTTAAGACGGAGTTATAAATGAAAACATAACTTGCTATTTTAGTATTTTGTTTTTCAAGGAAGAAAAACCTATTGCAAAAACAAATTTAAACAAGAAAAACTTACCCATTTCAAGCACTTGTTTATTTTCTTATTTTCCAGGCTAAAACTGTCTCCTTTCATCTCTGATTTTGTTGGGGGCTGATGAGAAGAGGGTTGTGGTTTTTTTTTTTTTCCCCCCGGAATCTGGAAAGTCGCTTCTCAAATGTGAGCAGTACTAAATCCTCCCTAATTGGAGACTGTAGTTCTGAATTCAAGCCCTCCCCTGCATAGCTGTGGGCCAAGAGCTCCGCACAGTGGCAGGAAGGGGAAAGGCAGTGTTGAGGAGCGGGGGGAGGGGGGAAGAAGGGTGGCGCTGCAGGGTTTCATGGAGGATTTCAGAGGCTCCACTGGATTACTGGAATCACAGTTGCTCTCTGGATCTTTTATGTCTCTCTTCTAGCATGTGTGCTGCCAGAGTGTTGCTATTTTATCTCATCAGCAACATAAGAATCTTCACAAAAAGTCTCCTGCAGCTGCTTTGCAATCCTAGTGTATTTTGTGGGCTTGACACTTTCATGTTTGAATTTCATGTTTGAATATCATTCATATCATAGACTGTGAGCACTTTCTTGGTTTCCTTATTAATATGTGCTAATTTCTAATCACACAGGTAGAAGGAAGTTGCATTTGAGTAAGAGACGTGTTCCTGAAGAAGATTTTCAAACACAGCCCAAACTTTTCCTGCATCCAGTCTTGAAAAAGGATGTGTGTTGGCTCCCTTGCTAAGGGGTCACTCCATTGTGTCCTCACTGTCCACACTGGCCCCCTGACAGTCCTCACTGTCCTCACTGGCTCTCTGGAATAGAGCAGGCACACTCTGCCTCACCTACATATGCTATCCCTTACCAGCAACGCTCCTTGTTCAGATGGACTCGTGGCCCAGGCCATTACGTCTGCAGATCTTCATCTAACTGTCACCTACCCAGTGAGGTAACTGCCACCCTCACACATGCACTGTCCCAGCACCTCTTTATGCTCTTTACTTTTCCTAAAGTCTGGACACCACCTAGCATTCCGTCTACACTGCCTTATTTCCTCTTGTCTCTCACGCCCCACCCACATCCTCCCTACCCTTGCATGTGAGCTGTGTGAGCTGTGTGAGCGCCAGGCAGGATTTCTGTCTGTTCTGTTCATGGCTCTAACCTGAGCCTGGAATAGTGTCTGCTTTGCAGAAGCCACTCCATGAGTATTTGTTGAATGAATGTCTAGAGAGTAAATAGGATAAAGCCTAGTTCACAAGTCTTAACTCCTGACAGTTTTAAATTATGCATTTCTTGAGGAATTTTTAATGTGGAAATGCATGTCATTAAAAAAATTTCATTGATGAAGTCAGGCATTATTAATATTTTATGTTTATTATTTTAAATTTGCATAATTTATATTTACACAAAATGTAAATACATGAATATATAATATTCCCCTGGCAATAAAATTAAATTATTACAATTTAAGACTAAAGTTCTTTTTACTTTTTACAGATATATCTGTAGGATATAGTTTTAAAAAGAACATTTATCTGGAGTTGTCTAATAAAATAAACACTAGGACACTACTAAGCCAGTCCAGTACATTGGTTTCAACTTTCACTTAAAGATAACTGGCAGAGCAAGTTCTATATCTACTCTCTTTCTTCTTAAAAGTAATATGCATCAAAACAATCGTGTTGGTTAAAAGGGATGTAAAAGAAATATGTTATTAAATATATTGATGAGCAGATCTTTCTAGCTTTACCGTACGCTGAACTCCTGGGCAACCTTTGTGTACAAAATAACAAGAGGAGGGCTTGTGTCTATAATAGCATGTGCATCTACTGCCACCGTGTGTTTAGTAGAGAGAACTACAAAAACCGCAGGCAAAGACTAATGAATGCCATCAGGGCAATATGCTTATTACATCTGTTAGGGATGTTTCTCAACTAATTGTTAACTTATTTCAGTCATATTTATTAAACTCCCAAGTCTAATTTTTCAATTATTAGCGAAATTTCAAAACCAGTAACAGTGTACTATGCATAGTAAAGTGCACTGTGATATATATATATATTTTTTTCCCTATAAAAACATCTGAAAATCTATCATTGGTCCATGCAGCTAAGCAGAGATGTCATGTGAATTGTTATTAAACTGCTACAAAACAGTGGTCATTTCTCTGTCCATTTGAGTGGCTTGAGGGTAGATTTGGAAACAAATGGTCTTATGGGTTGTGAGGCTTTTGGAAAGTTACTATTACTTAGCTTCTCTGAGCCTCAGGATCCTCATATGTGAAATGGGATAATAATAGTGTTTTGTGGGTGATCCACATAATCCACTTAGCAGAGTCTCTGACAAATGCAAGTTGCTCAAGAGTTGTTTGTCTCACAATTGCCAGGGAGCCCAGGATCAGGGTCTTAGCTGCTGGCCTCCAACAGGAGCCTGGAGGGTCAAGCGAGCTGAACAGTGCTGGGTCCACTCCCAACACCACCTTCCTCCACTCCTCCCTGCAGGGGCAGAGACTACCATGGCACTGAGGCTACCTTGGACTCTGTGCTTCGGTTTAGGTGATGCTATAGTCTTTGCTGTCCTGTGCTGAGAGGGAAGAGGCCTGGCAAGTGTGGTGCAGCCCAGCTGGTCTTACTTCATTTTCACACATTCTCTTTCTTGCTCCGTGTTTGAAATTCTATTGAAAATATGAAGAATGTTTAAATGACCTGTCCGTGAAAGCTTAAAGGAGGAGAGGCTCAGGGAACCGTGGAGAAAGCCCAGCGAATAGGAGCAGTTGACAAGCTAAAGAAATCACTTTGAAGAAGCATCCCATCAAGGCTCCCGAGGAAACAGCCTCTGAACATTCTACGTCACCCTTCTGTTCTCCCACGACAGGGCGGGTTATTGTGGGGCAAACATGACGAGCCATCAGACAAGGCCCAAAGTAGGTGCCATCAGCATATTGTAAACAGGCTCTGCAGTTACAGGTACGGGAACAATTAATCACCGAAAACCACATGTTTGTATTATGTGCCTGTTCCGTGTGAGACACAGTTCTAAACACCAGCAAAGAAAACATCCCCAAACACCTGACCTCGTGGAGCTTAAATCCACAGGGAGAGACAGACAATAAACAAAAACATAATAAAATAAGTAAATGATATCATGTGGAAGAGGAAGAGGAACAGTTCTGTTGAAGGTGAAGATCTATTCGCACTAGGAAAGGTGAGCTGGAATGACAGACGAAGGCTGCTTGAAATTGATACTGTGGAGGGCACAGTGATGGGTAATTAGTAAGGTCAAGGTTATAATCCTGGGATTGGCGGCTGAGCCTACTGAGACGCTGCATAGACATTGCAGGACTCATCAATGTGGCTATTGAAATCACCATGAATTATGAATTGAGCCAACTGTATTACTAGGTTAAGTTTGTAAAGGTCGAGTGATTGACAGTAATGAGCAGTAACAGTTCATGTTTGCTAACTGACTGGCATAGGGGGCGCTCCAAAGGCAAAATGAAGATAATGAATACTTCTAGCTGCGGAACAAATGTAACATGTGATCACACCAACGCATTTTCACTTGAAAGGGAAGGCCAGGCTCCGGGAGGGCGGCGGTTTCTCCTCTGGTGTGCACCCTGCTGCTTTTCCGGTGCTTAGAGCAGTGCCTGGCACATCTGAATTGTTCAATACGTATTTGCTGAATGAATGCATGAAGGAATGAATGAGCGGATCTCCTGTAGTCGGCCCACAACGCCAGGGCCAAGGTCCAAGGAGCTCACGGGTCTGCCACGCCCCCTGCGCTCCGCGCCTGCGCAGTGCCCGCAGCCCTGCGCCTCTCCCGCCGGCGTCCCCGCCCCGCCCCACTAGGTTTGAGCCCTGCTGGCCCCTGTAGCCGCAGGGGTGTCCTGCTGTCCCGGCTTCCTACTCAGCGCTCCCACGCCTACCGACCTGGGCTTTTTCTTCCTACGTCAGCCGCTGGACCCCGGAGATGGCGGCTCAGAAGATAAATGAGGGGCTGGAGCACATCGCCAAAGCTGAGAAATAGTGAGTGAGGGACCCTGGATCTCACTGTGGCCCTGGGGTCGTGCCCCCTCTGGCCCGGGCTTAGCACCCCGGGTTGGAAGGAGGAGCGAGGCAGTGAGAGTGGGGGTGTGTTGGCGAGGCCGGCGAGGGGCCGGAAGCATAGTTGCCCCCACTCCCCGCCGGAAGTGATCCCCGCTCCCCTTCGGGGGTCGTTGGGATGCTGACTCCGCTGCTTTTGCTAACTGGGTGGCTGACCCTCGGCACTTGGGCTGGGGGGTACCCCGTGGAGGGGCCGCCCTGCGCCCTGGAGCGTGATGAGCAGCACCCCTGGCCTGCGCCTTCTCGATGGCAGCATCACGCCTCTCCTCCCTCTCGGGGTGACAGCCAGACTGTCCCGGGAGAGAAAGCCTGCCCTGTGTAGGGCAGTGGGCTGCAGATTTACCCTGAAACTCGGGGACCCCTGGTCATGGTCTAGTACACTCCCTGGGAGCAAGGACTGCGCTTCCTTAGCCTGTTTGTGTGTGTTGGGCCCGGTATTTGGTAGATCTAAATTATGCTGTCTCCTCCTCTTGACACTCCCATCTTTCTCGGTTGTATTACCAAACGGATTTGTACCTGGCTGTTCGAGATAATGAAAGGTCTGCATTGCGCTCTGGGTTGCTAGATGCTTCGCATACCTAATCTGACACCTCCACAACTTTCCCGAGGGAGACGCTCATTTTACAGAAGAGGAAGCGAGACTCCGAGAAGCCTTCTAATACCTTACCCAGGGCTGCTAATACCGTACCCAGGGCCGCTAATACCTTACCCAGGGCCGCCCCACGGGAAGGTGGCAGAGACGGTTCTCCGCTGGTGAGAGCGCCAGCTCTTGATGTTGTGCTCTTGGTGCACGTGCCTACAACCACCTGCCTTTTTATTGAGAGCAAACACAGAAGTCTTAGAATAGTGTGTGTAATAAGTGTCACCCTAAAGCTGTGAGCTGTGCTTTGGTAACACAGGGGGAGAAGTGTATTCTGTCCTGGGGAAATGTAGGAACCTATTAACAAAGGTGATTGCTGAGCAGGGCCTGACCAAGAAGAAATTTTCAGAGGAGGAAATTCTCTGTGAGAGAATCTAGGCCCAGGATGTAGGTTGGGCGCAGGCCTGCAAACATGCTGGGGGAGTCTGGAACGTAGAGGAGGGCCAGGGCATGAGCTAGAGTGGAGAAGAGTTGGGGCCAGACGGTGAAGGGGCAGCATCTCTTTTCTAATGGACTGAACCTTAGCTTTTGTAGGGATCCATCAGAAGCCAGAGGGAGCCGGTTAGATTTAATTTAGGCAAAAGAAATGTGGTAATGTGGAGAAAGGCCTGGGAGGAGAGGAGAGTGAGAACTTTGGCATATTTAGTAAGCAGACATTTACAGAGTTGTCAGCATGTACCTGTACACTGGCTGCTGGGGTTATTGAGGTAAAAAAAAAAAAAAAAAGAAAAGAAAAGAAAAAAAAAAAAGTCTTTCCTTCAGAGCCTAGATTTCACAAAAGAGCAGACATGTAAATAGGTGAGTTTAGAAGTATATCGCAGTTTCATTTGAGATGCCAAGTAAGGAAAGGGTGCTTTCCTCAGGGTGGAGAAATGGATGAGGAGGGAGACATTCCTAGGATAGAATTGAAAAGCTTCAGTGCCGTAACCGGATGTGGCAGGAAAGGCTTGGCCCCTGTGTTTCTAACTTGGGAGATGGAGTGATGGAGACACCTTCAGCCCAAGCAGGGTGCAGAGGTGAATGGGGCAAGGAGGCGTTGGATTAAGGCCTGAATGTGTTCTGTTTGAGGCTCAGTAGGTGGCAGGAAACATGGGCCTGGAATTGAGGAGAGACCATTTGATATTTCTGTCTTCTAATGATAATATGGTTCAATGTTGCCAAGTAGTTTTGTAATTATCATTTTGGGGGGTTTGGTCCTATGAACATTGATTAAACTGTTGGCCTCAACAGAATTTCTGTATCTAGTTTTTTTTGACAGAAGTAGCAAAAACTTAGTTATAGCCATTAAATGAAATTAACCAGAGTACCTTTTCCCTTCCAAATCAGAGATGCTTAGTGGACCGGGGATGATTTACTATATTTTAAGTCTCTAGCTCTTTCGTAAGTAGCCCATTAGACAATTGAATGATTATACCTTGCTTTTGATGGAGTTTTTAAAATTTGGTGATATGCAGAATATAATGAATGCTTTGGAGTGGGATGGAGGAATACATTTTTCTTTTATTGCATACTTCCTTAATTTTATGGATTAGCATGGTGGGCTACAATGTAAAGATTTTTCTGAGCAAAGATATTCTTGGTAAGCTTTAAAAATTGCATTACAGATTTGCATCTTATACCAGTTTATACACAAATACAAATATTAAATACATTTAATTGGGGGTCTTTGGGCAGTTCACACAGCTGTCACAGAATGGTGTACTTCTGAGGGAGGGCCCTAGGTGATGCCCCATCTCTCAGGTAAGGTTTGAAGCTAACACTGTGAAATATAAGCTAATTGAATTGGAATGTAGAAGCTAAGATGGCTTAGCGTTTAACACCCAAGCTTGATAGTCACTAAGTTAATTTAAACTGGAAATATGAAATTATTCTAAATTAAAGCAAGAAAATAAAATACTGCAGAAACGGCAAATAAGGTAAATTGATAGTCCTTTGGTTTGGCATTTGAGAAGCCAGTGGTGATCCTTGAAAGCAGCATCTCTGTTTTCATAACATCCCTGTCTTTCTGGTTCTTGCTGTTCACTGGTGGCTAATTTGCAGCCGTTTTTGGTGACTCCCTCTGCTGTTCATCTGAATGTTTGTATCTGCCCTCCAAGGCCTCCTAGGTCATCCAAACTGTAGTAAGTGCCTCCTCATTTAATCTCTCTGTCCTCTCCTGAGCTTCAGTCACACAACTTCGAGCAAGCGTTTACTTGATGCTGTGCTTTAGTGGGTTCAAGCTTTAGTGTGCCTCAGGGCTTGTTACACCCTGGGTTTTTTTTTGCTGCACTTCCAGAGTTTTTGGTTCCATGGGTGTGGTATGGGGCTCAACAATTTACTTTACTAGAACATTTCCAGCTGGCGTGGGGACCATGCACTGAGAGTCTGCTATAGTTGGAGTTATGCAGGTATTTCAAAAGGAGGGAAACCGTGTCTATGGTAGTGAGAAGGAAAAAGGTGAGGTTGTATTAAATTGTAAGTCAGGTTGGATGGAGGTTGTCAAGATGGGGACTTGTTACCTGCTGGCTCCTCCCCCTATTTTTTAATGACCTGTGAATTCATTAAAGCAGAGTTCTGACTTATAAATGTGTTGGTAACTTCTAAGATACATTCCTTTCTTTCATTTTAGCCTGAAAACTGGTTTATTAAAGTGGAAGCCAGATTATGACAGTGCTGCTTCTGAATATGGAAAAGCAGGTATGTGTGACTGGCCCATTAACTCCAAAGTGTAATAATCTAGTAGGCTGATAGCTTCCTCTCAGCATAATACTTACCCCCAATGCTTCCTATAAGATTCTGATAGTTAAACAACAACAACAACCTGCCCAGGCCCTTGCATTTTTTTACATCATTATTTTCAAATGTGTGGAGGGCTGGGTCAGAGATCTCCATAATTCTGCCTCTTGTGAGAGCAGAGATGAGTAAGATTGGCAGAACCTAGCTGCAGGTGTTCAGCATTGTTTATGTATTCCTAAACTCCAGTCTGTTGCATAGTGTTTCTAGGAGTTGTGCCATATCCCTTTATTACACTTCCTTTATTGAATAAAGACTTCCGTTACATTTTTAAAATTAGCCTTATAAGAAGATCTAAAACCATGTATTTGACACCAATGGTGTTTTTTATGAACTTCACTTTGAGAGACACCGATAACCATCATGAGTGTTAAACTACATAAATATTAGAATACATTTATCTTCTGTAAGATAAAAATGATTTGAAATATGGGATAGACAGGACCTTTACTAAAATATTTATGGAATGATAGCTTTCAGCATATTCGTGATTATTTTGGACATAAAGCCTGTACAGTTTGAAGAACCCAGAATACATTTACAGTTGTGTTTCAGTGATAGACCTGATCCCTTTTGTTATCCTAGCATATCACCAAAGAAAAACAGAATTGGAGAAATTGAAACTAATTAGTACAATACGTGTTACTTTCTAGATATTAAAAGAAATGACAATAAATGAGTCTTTAGCACTTTTATTTAAGAATTTACCCTGAGTAAATTCTCTCTCTTATTTATATATCACTTTTAAAGGGGAAATTATTAACAGTTCATACTTTAAATGGGTTTTATGAACACCTTGTACAAGAAGCTTTTGTAACTGGAGGGCACATATTTTGCAAATTTCCATGAGGGAAATTTGACACAGATTTGTTGTATATACATCTGAGACTATGAGCTGCTTTCAAAAAATAAATATTTCAGGTCAGATTTTCCGGCTAAAGCTGTCTTTCGTTTATTTTCTTTAATGGTTTATGCATAATATGTTTATAGGAATAAATGTGGAAATTCACCGAGGGAATTAGTTTTAGTAGTTTATTTTCAATATTTTATTAAAGAGAATTTTAAGAGTGCATTTTTAACAAATAACTTTTTTCTTAAAGTTGTATCCTTTTTATGTATTTGTAAATAACCTTTGGTATTGGTAAGTTTACCAAATCTGCAGCATCATATTTTAGGGCTAGTCCTCATAGCTTTGCTCTGATGATGACATTTTACAACAATGAGCAATGTATTTTAACATTTTGGATATTGAGATTCCCCCCCCTCCCCCCCACAGAAACTTAAACCGTGCAAAAGCTTTATTTTTGAAAAATGCAGTCTTAATTTTTTAGAAATTTATTTAAAGATTGTTCCAAAGAGGAAGGCTTATTATAAAAACATTTAATGTGCTTATTGGTCTTTATTTCTAAACTAGAGGCCTGATGCATGAAATTCCTGCAAGGGGCTTGGCCCTTGCAGCTGTGGCTTCCTTCGGAAGGATGACTGGAAGGTCGTTTGGCTCTCCAGTCTCATTAGCATGTTACATTTTTATTATTTCTAGCATGTTATGCTTTTATTATTTCTAAACTAGTGGCCCCGGTGCATGAAATTTGTGCATTTGAGGGGGGGGTTCCCTCAGTCCAGCCTGCACCCTCTCCAATCGGACATCTGGGACTTCTGGCTCTTAACCACTCAACTGCCTGCCTGCCTGATTGCCCCTAACTGCCTCTGCCTGCCTGCTTGGTTGCTCCAATTGCCCTCCCTTGCCAGCCTGATTTTGCCTCCAAACGGCCCTCCCCTGCTGTCCTGATCTCGCCCCCAACTTCCCTCCTCTGCTAGCCTGATTGCCCCAACTGCCCATCCCTGCAGGCCTAATCTTGCCCCCAACTGCCCTCCTCTGCCAGCCAATTTAGTTCTGATTGGTTGGTTTCTATGCCAATTAGTGTCAAAAGCTCCACCTCCTAGGCAGCCATTGGCTCCTCACACTTCACCCGGATTTGGTTCTGATTGGTCAGTTTCTATGCCAGTCAGCATCTCTGAACCTATCAACAGTGCCTGATCAGAAAGGTTGGGGTGATCAGCAGCCCCGGTGGAGGCCTGGAGAGAAATGGAGGTGCAGCTGCTGGCCTGGCTGGGTGAGAAAGAGCAGGCAACTGCTGATCAACAGCTGCCACACAGGCTATGGATCAGACCCTGCTTCTCTCTTGAGGCTTCTCTCTGGGCCTGATTCGTAGCCCCCTCAGCAGTCAGTGCCGGGTCACTGTGCCATGGCAACCCAGTGCTGACTGCAGGACTGATTAAGCCTCTGGTTGTGACAGACCCAGGGTATTTATATATTAAGATAATTTAAAAGATGGAATAAGTTATAACTAAAGCACTAGTTTTTTTAATTACTATTATTAAACGTAAGACTGGTGAAGTAAGGTACTGCTTTTTGTAATAGTACCTCTTATTTGGGAGCATTGATTTGGCTGATAATGATCTTAAGTTCTCAAAGCTTAGATATTGGTATTAGAAAGACTTCTTAGTTTTGAGTGGAAGTAGCACTAATTTTTAGTGAACAGTCTACAATTAAAACAACTTTTGAAAATACTTCTAAATTATTGATCATCAAAAAAGTAAGAAAATTGCTTTAATAATACTTTATAGTTTTATGAAACTTTTAAAGTATTTGATTAAAATAAGTATACATGTTTTCCAATTCTTTACACATGATGCAGATTTTGGTAATGATTCGTTTGAAATTGTAAGTGGTGAAAATAGAAAGTCTTTCTGTTGTTTTATTTCAGCTCTTGCTTTTAAAAATGCCAAACAGTTTGACCAAGCAAAAGATGCCTGCCTGAGAGAAGCTGTGGCCCATGAGAATAACAGGGCGTATCTTTTTCAGCCTTTAAAAAGGATTTAACGATCCAATAATTTTGACAAAGGCACATTTTTTCTTATTATAAACTTGCTACATGTGGAGTATAATGCTATTAAATTAGAAAATGGTTATAAAATTCTGCATATTTAAACTCTGAAGGAGCATTTATAGAAACTTCTGATCATAAGGTTCATACAGCTTTCCAGAGCTACATTTGAGAATTTATTTCCTTTTCGTTTTTTGGATTTGCTTGATGATGGTTTTATTTGGGATGAGGTGAGGAAAATCTGTAGACAGGCACTGAAGAATGAAGAGATAGCACAGGTATTGGAGATATATGAATACTATATAAATATTTTAAAAATATTTAATAAATATTTTTAAGGCATAGTCTTTCTCAGGCATTTGAAATATGGTTTATAAGCAGTTCAAAACAATACATTTTCCTGAAGTTATGTAAAACTTATGCTGAAAATGTTTCTTTTGTCTCACTTGCTAATATTATGCTTATAATGTTGATTTTTAGTACAGCTCTTCAGATTAATGCATAATGGAACAAGTTTAAAATCTGTCTGGTGTTCTTGTGGATTACGTAGTTTTAACAAACATTAGTAGGTACAAAATTATTTCTTCTTTACCTGTTTTTAGGATTTGCCTTTTGGATCATAACTAAGGCAGTGATTTAGTTACCTTTGTCTTTTAAATAGTAAATACTTAGAAATGATTGGTTTGCTTTTTTTCCTTAATCTTGACTTTGTTACATCCATTCAGTCTTTTTCATGCTGCCAAGTAAGTAAATATTTTCTCATGTTTTCATGTGTTTGCAGATTATTATGTTTTAAATGTTTTTCCATAAGTCAGTAAATTTTCCCTAAATTATGAATTTGTAAATAGTGGATTATTTTGTATTGATTTAAATAAAAATCATTTTCATTTGTTTTAGTCTTCACCTGAACCTTAAAAAATAAGTTTTCCTAAGATATGCAGTGTTTCACCTCGGCATTTTTAGGACCATTTTGTTCAGTAACTTATGAAAAACCAAGTAAGTTAGAATTTATTTCCCTCTTTCTTGATAGTTAATAGTGTTTATGGAGAAAACTAGGAAGCTTTCTCCTCCTTTTGTGGAGAGTACTTGTTTCAGATTTAGACTTGTCAAATAGAAGCTCATTTACCCATTCTGTATCATACTTAGTTTTGCATTTGCAAAATAAAAACCCTTTAATTTAGGTGCCTGATGTTTCTAAGGCAGAATTGTCTGTGAAAAGAAAAAGAAAAAAACATGTGTGCTAATACAAGACTAAAGTAATGTGTAGTGCTTAAGCCAGTTAAAAGTGATGAGATAACTGCCCTCGCTGGTTTGGCTCAGTGACTAGAGCATCAGCCTGCAGACGGAAGAGTCTCAGGTTTGATTCCAGTCAAGGCACATGCCCAGGTTTCAGGCTCGACCCCCAGTGGGGGATGTGCAGGAGGCAATTGATCAGAGATTCTCTCTCATCATTGAGGTTCCTATCTCTTTCTTCCTTCCTCTCTGAAATCAATAAAAATATATTTTTAAAAAATAAAATAGCTTCCTTTATCTGTAGTATCCTCCTCCTATTTCATTAAGATCTCATCCGGGAAATTATATTCTCTTTGCAGAGCTTATGAGCAAGCTGGCATGATGTTGAAGGTCAGTAATGTTCTGTCACAACTGCTCTGTAAGTAAAATGAATTAACTGCATGGTGTTGAAGTTGAAAAGTCTCCTTGTAGGGTGACAGATGTTGTCCAAAGCAATGCTAATTGGGCCTATAAGATAAAATGTGTGGGCCTACAAGGTAAAATGTGTGGGCCTACAAGGTAAAATGTGTGTCATAATATAGGAATTTCTAATTCTGAAATTTAAGAGAGAACATGTTGGAGGAAACGGAATCCCAAGGTTCTAGGCTTTGTAACCAGGAGAGATGTATCACTAAGCTAAACAGAGCTATGTGGGAAGTTCTCCTACTTTTGAGAAATTTATGACAGCTTACAAGTATATATTTTTTTACTGCCCATGTGTTATAGAGAGGAGAAATTTTTGCTTGTTTCACATACATTAGTTGGCATTAAAGAGAACCAGACTTAAGCTGTTGCTGTTTAACTGATTCTTCTTGAATGAAATATTTTGGCTAGTGTGGCTATGCCCCTTATTTATTTCTCTTCGTAAACACAGGTTGGAAATTAATATTCTGTTGTGCAACAGAACACATTACTTTATGACACTGACTCTCACAGTATGCCATTGATGACATTCAGCAGGAAAGATGGTTGCAAACCCAGATGAACTCAGGGCATAATGGAGGGACTGAAATGAAGGAGGTGGCCTGGGTGTGTAGGGCAGTAGGGAATTGGGGGAATTGAGGCTATAGGAGATAATATACCTCCATCAGGACAGCAGCTACTCAGCCCCAGTGTATTATTGCCATGTGGGAATGTAAGCTGGCTGATGCCAAAGCCTTTGATAATTTTTTAACATAGAAAGTCATAAACGACTTTTATGAAATTACTGAATGGTTCGAATAAGATCCACTTGGAAATAAGATGCAGCCTTTGGGATGTGGTTTGCCTCCTTTGGCATAGTCCTTGTGTACAGTAGGGACTCAGCAAATGTTCAGAGGTTTGAATGCTTACAAAACAGTAAAGAGCAAATATTTTGATTTTTATTTGTATAGTTTCCCTGAAATTCTGCTATGTGATGATGAATTCTGGGTAGAAGTTAACTGACACATATTTGGTTTGGCTAAATGAAGCCTGATGGGAAGAGTAACTATGTTGAAGGCATTTCATTTTAAGTATATATTTTTTGTATAAAGTTGGAGTCTTTTTATGATTCAGGGATAAAATAATTGAATTTCAGGTTAACTTTGCATTTTCAAGTTGATGCATTTACTGATCACACTCTGTCCTTTGCCTGAAGGAGATGCAGCAGCTCCCACAGGCTGTCCAGCTGATTGAGAAGGCCAGCATGATGTACCTGGAAAACGGCACCCCCGACACAGCAGCCATGGCCTTGGAGCGAGCCGGAAAGTGAGTGTGAGCAACATGTTGGCTCTGCACAGAGTCATCATCTTTTTGTTTTAACAAGTTTTCTATTTCTCACATAAATCAATTTTTCTTGTCTAATTTAGGCTTATAGAAAATGTAAATCCAGAAAAGGCTGTACAGTTATACCAACAGACAGCTAATGTGTTTGAAGTAAGTTTGAATTTTATTTCTTTTTCTTTAGGTTCATAATATGTGGGAAAATAGAGAAATGCAGCGGCTACTTTTTAAACCTTTTCTGTGCTCACAGCTGAGCTCCGTCTCTGTTAGAGAGTGAGGAAATGGGTCAGCAGCTTTGGCGCTGTCCTCTCAGCACCACGCCCTCGCCCCGTATTGAGTGCCATTACTTTTTTTCTATTAGATACTTATTGGAGGGAACAAAGATTCCTGCATTGAAGCTACCAACACTCTCTTTTGTTTGATTCCTTTAGAATGAGGAACGTTTACGACAGGCAGTTGAATTACTAGGAAAAGCCTCCAGACTGCTAGTACGAGGACGCAGGTGAGTTTTCTAAGACTTGTTCATGTGTGTGCGTGTACGCCTGTGGTTCATGTTGGAACTGTTCAGTAATTTTGCAAACAGCTTGTTAAGCTTCTTGGTGTGAGCCATGGACACATCAGGGGACCCGTTAAATATTGATGTCTGTAAGATGGCACATTGGGTTAAATATTAAAAGATCTGCTGTTTTTCTAAGGTGTAATCTCAAAAATTGTCATGCGTTGTATTCTTATTGGCTCATGAGAGAGAGAGAGAGAGAGAGAGAGAGAGAGAGAGAGAGAGAGAGCGAGCGCGCGCGCGCGAGCGCACAGTTTTCTTGATCTGATATTTGGTTAGATTATAATGTCTGTCTTTAAGGAAAAATATCCATATAAGGCATAAGTAACAAAAGATGCCCTGAGTGCTCCCCCATGAAAATGGACAGCTTTTTGATAGCCAAATAGTGTCATTAAAAAAGGGTTTTACTTTTTTATTTTTTAATTATATGATCTAGAATTCTTCCACCATGCCCAACTTATAAACCAGCTTTGGTCCCACAATTTAGCAAGTTGATCTTTAGAAATTCAGAATACATTTCTCTAATGAGTCTTACGTTATGAGGCAGTAAATTGACAGGGCACCGCCCACAAAGATTCAAATTCATAATGTGAGTTAAACCAAGCCACTGTTATTTTTGTATGCAAATATTTTTTTAAAGGTAATGATTGGCACAGAAAAATATAGTATAACGTTTTTGTACTTTTAACTTGGGTCATAGCAACACCTTTCTCCCTCTATGTTCTCACAGTGCAGACTGCTTCCTCTCTTTGGCTGTTGGGATGAGAGAAATAGGTGAAGATTTAAATTCACCCAGTCACAAGTTCAATGTTAGTAAGGGAGTCCTAGAATTAGGAGTACAGGGTGGGCAAAAGTAGGTTAAATTACCAATCATCATTACCTGAAAGATAAATCATAAGTAAGGATATAAAATAATAAGAAGATGACAACACAAATAAATAATACAATAATAAATAAATAAATAAATAAATAAATAAATAAATAATAAATGATGATGCAAGAATTAACTCTGTTTCAGGTACTCACAACTGTACACCTACTTTTGCCAACCCCTGTCTACAGCTTTGCTGGGAGAAGCTCTGATTAGGGTTTGATGGATTAGGGTTGGGGAGGAAAGAAAGGGATGGGGCCTCAGAATCACAGGAAGGTTTTCGGTGATGCCTTCCTCTACACTCTGCCATCTGAACGGGATGGGAGAAAAGGAAAACGTGTGAGAGTAGCCAGGAAAAGATGAATGTTGAGGATCAGAGGTAGCAGAAAGATTTTTCTAGTGTCGACTTGTCTGCTCTCCACTGCTGCCCTTTTCAGCACCAGTTGCTGGGGTCCCGGAGGCAGCGGTGAGCATGGACAGTGAGGGCAGAGGGAGGGGATTTTTCAGCGGGGGTGGTGCTCTTGGGGCATCTGGATGGCCTCTCGGTGGAAGGAAAGAAATCCAAGGTGATTAAATTGTGGGCTGTCTTTCTCTGAGACATTTCATAAACATTCATAAAGTAGTTTGTTGAATTTGATAGATACTGATTAATGAGTGATCCTTACCAGCCTTAAAACTCTCCATTTGAAGTAACCTATCAGTACCTTCTCTTGCTTTGACTGTCTGCTTGATGCCCAAAGGGGCAGGGTGAGCATTGAAAAGAAGCCCATGGACATGGAGCTGTTGCTGAAATGCCTGTATCTTCTTTATTCCTCTAAAAACTGTGCTAGCAACTACATTATCAGGATGGCCTGTGCTATAGATCATTTAGACCTGCCTTGTTTGACATTTCTTTGTTTTCATTTTTAGGTTTGATGAGGCGGCACTCTCTATTCAGAAAGAAAAAAATATCTATAAGGAAATTGAGAATTATCCAACTTGTTATAAGGTATATTTTGAAAGTGCTTATTTTTGGCTTTCCATTAGATAATTTTTCATATTGGTGTCCATATAACCAGATTGCATGGATATTTGTCCATTTTTTTAAAGAATACTTTCTGGCCTCTGTATTTGACCAAGATGGACTGAGCCTACTGCAGCCTCTCTCCTATTGATTACAACTAAAACTTCCAGACAAATTTAAAAAAGCAATTACTTTGAAAAGTAAATAGAACAGGTTGATGGAGAGAAGTACACACTTGCAGAAGCAACCAATAGATGAATGCGTTCCAGGATTTTTCCTGTTTCCTCTTGTGGCATTGGCTTAGAAGCCCCCGTCATGGAGCTGGGCCACCGCGGCTCCGGCAGCTGAAATGCCTAAAGAACTCAAATACTGCATCTTTCTAACCAGAGGAACTGGATTTGTCTGGTTAGAAAAAGGCCCCCGTTTTCCTCTTTTTCCCTCCCTTGGCTTTGCTCCCTGGGGAAGTCCTAGTCATGGAGCTACGGTTGTGGTGGTGGCACAGGCCAGTTAAAACGCTGATGAAAACCTAATCTCTGGTCAGAGGAACTGGGAAGATGAGCTAAGAGAGCAAGGAGAAAACCCCAGAAAAAGGAGCTGGAACAGGGAATCCTCTGACTTGTGTGTGTGTTATGGGAGTGAGGGAGAAGGAAGGGCATGCAGGTCTTGGGTTTACTCTCCAGCTGGGCCTGTGCAGGACAGACCCAGGGGGAGAGCATGGGCGTTGAGGACTACAGTACAATTAAACCACTGTTCAGGGCTCATAGCGCCCTTGCCAGGCTCATGCGTGGGGCAGAGCCTGCCAGCAGAGCTGAGGGACTGAACAAAGACTAGAGCCACTGCCCACCAAAAGCAGACAAAAATGCAGTCTGAGCCTGACTAGGTGATTGCCTGATGGAAGCACCCAACTCTCTTGAGAATGGTAGGCCAGTCTGTGCAGCATAACAGTCACAGTGTCCAGCGTGCGGTCCCAAAGGACTGAGCACAGAAGAACCAGGACAGCAGGACCAGTTTACAGGGGAAGGACAACTGATGCGTACCCAGGCATGGCTTGGGTGTGCGATTATCCATCAGGGCTTTGTAGCAGCTATCATAAATGCGAGTGAGCCAAAGGCAAACACATGTGAATGAATGGGAGATAGCTCTTCTTAAATAGAAACTCTAAAAATGAAGCAAATGAGAAACCAAAATAGCTGTGTCTGAAATAAAATTAGTATGACAACTGAGATGAAAAAATTCAAGGAACTTGAAGGTATTAATAGATCAATAAAAGTTATCTGAAAAATGAGAGAAAATATTGAAGAGCTATTTTGCCAAGAAGATAAGTCACACCTTTAATCTTAATACTTTTCTTGGCTTATAAATGGTATCATTGTTTCTGTTATCTAAAGTTTTTCCTAGAATCTCTTTAAGAATTTCAAAGTATAATAGTAGAGTTATGCTCCCCCCCTCGTTTTAATTCCCCTTTCAAGATTAAATCTATATAGGTTTTTAAAAGAAATTTGTTTTAAAATGTGTGGTGGTGTCTAAGGCTTTATTACTCTGTGGTCCTTAGACTAGCAGTAGCAGGGCCACCTGGGAGCTTGTTAGTAGTCACTGCAGGATCTCAGGCTCGCTGCAGGCCCACGGACTCAAAGTCTTCATTTTAACAAGACCCTGGGGTTATTTGTGAGCACAGTAGAGTTTGAGATGTCTACGTCAGTATATTTTCCTTAGATGTCCTGTGGAAATCACTACAGAAATTATAAATCTTTCTGTATAAAACCAAAACTCTGAACATTAAATTCTGGGTGTCAGGAAATTAACTTTATTAAGTAGATATAAATTTGACTATAATCACATCTTTTGTTTTAGAAAACAATTGCTCAAGTCTTAGTTCACCTTCACAGAAATGACTACGTGGCTGCAGAAAGATGTGTCAGGGAGAGCTACAGGTAAGGCGCTGACTGTGCTGTCCTGATTTGGAATGTTAACATTTCTGTCAATTTGAGGCAACTGCTTAGACAATAATCCTGTCCGTGAAACCAGATTGTTTTTTAAAAAAAGAAATAAATGTCATAGTGACAGCAGCACTTGACGTCAGCTTTTACAGCAGGAGTTTTACAAGTTATGTTCTTTCTTATGTTTGACTTGGAACTGTATAATTCTTTGTTGCCAGGCCTGTTCTGTGCATTGTAGGCTATCTAACATCATCCCTGATCTCTGCCCACTTGTAACAATTAAAAACGTCTCCAGATGTTGCCAAACTTCTGCTGGGGGGCAGATGTACCTGGTTGAGAGGGAGCAGGTAGAGCTGTGTGACTTGGGCTTGCTGTAGCATTCCAGGGTTCAATGGGAGTGAAGACTGTGCTGCACTGGAACAGCTGCTTGAGGGATATGACCAGCAAGACCAAGATCAAGTGTCAGAGGTCTGCAACTCACCCCTCTTCAAGTACATGGACAATGATGTAAGTGGCCTTTGCCTTAGCTTTCTTCTTTTCTCTTGAATGGAAGAGGCTTCCAACAAGATTACCTCTTTTACTAGTGGCCTGGTGCACAAAATTCATGCATAGGCGGGGGGTAAGGTGGTTTCCTCAGCCTGGCTTACACCCTCTTACAATCTGAGATTGCTGGCTCCTAACTGCTGGCCTGCCTGCCTGATCGCCCCTAACCACTCTCCCTGGTGGCCTGCTCATCCCCAATTGCCACCCCCTGCTGACCTGATCACCTCCAACTGCCTTCCTCTCTTGGCATAATTGCCCCTAACTGCCTCTGCCTCAACCCTGCCATCATGGCTTTGTCCGGAAGGATGTCCAGTCTAATTAGCATATTATCCTTTTATTAGTATAAATGGACTTTGAGATTTTTCTCCTGTTTTTTTCCCTCAAGATACTTCTCATTTTGCATTTGCACTTTTACATTATAGGTTTGGGTTGTTTGAATGTCAACCATATAAGTTTATAGCCTTATAGCCAGTTACTTATCTATCTGTGTTGACCATATATATATATATATATATATATATATATATATTTTTTTTTTTTTTTTAATTCAGCCCCATTTTTCCAGCTTCTTTCATTTGTTGGCCTCTATAGGTTGCTTAGTTTTTTTCCCCCCATTCTTCTAGACTCACTGACTGAAAGAGACCCATCATGTAGTGGCCTGAAATTCAGTAGACTAGTTGGAATTTCACTTCAGTGGCGACTAACTGTGTGATGCAGGTTATTAATTAACTATCTGTAAGCCTCAGTTAACTCATAAAGATAAATTGAGAGACTGATCTCTGTCTTGCCAGCCTGTAGTGATGCGTAGATTAGGCTGTGTTCCCAAAACAGCCTCCTGTGCTGCCATATACAGAACGTGAGCCATGACAGTGGGTATCTCTTCTTTCCGATTTCCCTTTTTAGTAGATTTGTGAGCACCAATTTTTTAAAATATATTTTTATTGATTTCAGCGAGGAAGGCAGAGAGAGAAAGAAACTTCAGTGATGAGAGAGAATCATTGATCAGCTGCCTCCTGCACACTCCACACTGGGGATCCAGCATGCAATGCAGACATGTGTCCTGACCCGGAATCGAACCATGACCTCCTGCTCCAAAGGAGTAACTTTAAACTACTTGGGCTTCTTAAGATACTGGTTATTCAGTTATTATATATGACTGCACTAATTGTTACTTGGTGAGATGGACAACTTCAGTACATCCTGGTTCATAGGTCAATGCCCAACCACTGAGCCCCACCACCTGGACAGCACCAATTCGTTTGATTTCATTTTACAGCTTTAGTTTTATGGTATCAGATCAGCTTAAGATCTTCTATTTTTTACCACAATATAGAGAAACCTTTTTTTCCTCTCGATAAATTCTTAATAGTTTTTATGAATTTGCAAATTTAAAAAAAAAATTGTTCATAGCTTATCCTCTTCATTTACTCAAAGATCTGTAGCTCATATGAACTGTAAGTGTTACTTAACTCACTATGTCCCGATTATCTCATTTCTAAGTGTATAATTGACATTTTTGCTAGTTGTGCACCTGTCACATTATGGTCATAAGCCATCCGAGGGCAGAGCAATGTTGTGTTTTCTTGTGGTTTTTTTACCGTCTAAATGGTAGTGTTGGCTTTCATGAGGTAGAAAGCTAGGATCTGCCGTTTGTTGAGAGATCTCATGCGAAGGTTCTAGTTACCCAGCTTTTGAGACATTGCTTTGTTGTTGACAGTACGCTAAGCTGGGCCTGAGTTTGGTGGTCCCTGGAGGAGGAATCAAGAAGAAAGCTGCAGCAGCACCGGAGGCCACGCCTGAAGGCACCCCTGCTCCCACTGCCGCCGCCGAGGAGGAGGATGAATATGCGGGGGGGCTGTGCTAGGCTTTGCCGAAGGGAAACATGGTCATACTCCATCCATGGACTTGGCACTTGTCTAAGGGTACCCACAGTTCATTGCAGTCATGGCTTTGAATGCTAATAAAGGTAAAGTTTGTTTACCATTTCCTCAGCTCACCCATTGTACCTGCTACCTGTGAAGCACTTTTTTCTTTCTAAATACACCGGAAGGAATTAACAGGAAAAAGCAGTGTCACATTTTAATAGTTGATTTTAAAGATTGCAAGCCAAATTCTAAGACAAATTATGTTCTAAGCAAAACAAAAGAGCCAATAGGCATAGATATTCTTTTTCTTGTGATTTATTGTTAGAGAATTTTCTTTGCATTTTTTTTTTAAACAATGGCTGCTAAAATTGAAGTTTACTAGTTAAACAAAATATTTTAAACATTTGTTTTGTTATATTTGAAAAGGAAATTTATCTCCCGTAATATTAACTACATTTAAATTAAATCTTTTTAGATGAGATATTGTAACAGGAAGCTATTTTGAGCTTTATGATGTTAATTAGCCCAATAAAGGATGCATTTAAAGTCTTCTATGTAAGTTTGAACATTCTTAAAGTAGCATATGAAAATAATTCTGTCAGTGTCTTCAGTTCTCTGGGAAATATGGGTATTTGTCCCATCAAAAAACCCACATAGTGACTGTCTCCAAAATCACTTGATTCTTGACTAAATGAGAACTAACCTGAACCTTTTTATGCATCCTAACAAAGAAATAATGTTTCTATTAATTTGTATATACTTATTTTTCCCTCCAAAATAATTTGAATCTCTTAGGGTTATAATAGGACGGTAACATGACATGGGAAATATTATGTACCACATTTATATGAAATGGGTGAGTCGTTTTTGGGAATAGACGATGCACAGCACATTAAAAGTACTGTGCTGCCAATATTTTGATGTTTCCTGAAAGGTATTTTGAAGCATTCCTCTTTCAGCCTGTGTGGCTTAAATCCATCTCCCAACCTATTCATTTGAAAGGGGCTCCACACACCAGCCGTGTGCATTCTGCAGGCAGATGCTATCCAGAGTGGTTTCCTCTTAATTCTCACCCTGTCTTTCTGCATAGAGTCCTAGCTGATGCAGGTGCAGTCTGCTTAGCTTTGCTGGACTTCCGAAAACACTAAGGTAGATTCTAACACGAGTGGTTTCAGTCACAGTTCTGTGGGAGAGCTTACACAGTATACCCTTTTTATTTGTGTGCTTGGGGTGGGTGGATGTTTGGATAGAAATCTTTTTTGAAGGTCTCATTCAAAACACTAATAAATTTGATGTTTTGTTTCCTTAAGTTGCTTGCATAATTTAGCAGGTAGCAACTAATTTTCAGCAATTGTTTGGATGTTAACTTTGAGTTACCTCAGTAAAACTATTGTTAGGCAGTTGAATTGAATGATAATATTTCAAGTATCCTATCATTGCTGTTGTACCCTATAGATCCAGTGAGAAGCTTCCAGAATCTTACATTAATGCTCATTTGAGCTAATTAGCAATCTGTTTAAACAGACCTGGCAGTGCTTAGAAGATATTTCATACCATTTGTTTATAGACCATATTATCCATTACAGCCTTGGAAAATTTTGTTTACTTTTACTCTTTTCTTACATATTAAGCAAAGTGAGAATGATTCAATGCATTCTGTAGCAGCAATGCAAGTGGGTCTTAATGTAAAAAGTTTACATAAGCACAACCTCTCACCACCCTCCCTGCCCACATTTAAGAACTCAGAACCATAAAGACTTGTGGATTTCAGGGTTATTCTCTATGGTGTCCAGTAAAAAGCATTGCTTCCACATTTATGCATTTACTTTTTCCACTTATACAAGTCTTTATTTTCAGAGGATAGAGTGGATAACTTGTGTTTACAAAAGGAAAAATTGTTTTCTAGAACTCATGTCATTACTTTTATCGAAGTGGAAGTCTGCATGAACATGCTCAGAATCTAATATTCAATGTTCTGTTATAGTGTAAGTGCAGCCAGCCTGCAAAATATATTTAATATATTGAATTTATTTGTATATATGCAGAGTATTTGTGCTTTATTCCTATTTTTTCCAGCTCTTTGATGAGTAGGATATTAAATGTGTTGTTAAGGAAATGCAGATTACTGCTTTAATGATAAGATATATGAAAATAAAATCTGAAACTATATAAATACGATTATTCTTTTTATTGTTCTTCATTTTGCTTTGCTTGTTTCCTTTTTTAAAGGACACATTGTTATTTATATGATTCCAGTTATATTTTACAAGAACAGTATTTGTCTGAGTTGTATATTCTGCTCCATAGGAGTAACTTTGAACTACACAGACTTCTTAAGATGCTGGTTATCCAGTTACTGTATATACGACTGCACTATCTGTTACTTGGTGAGATGGACAACTTTAATACATCTTCCAAAAGAAATAATTTTTTCATTAAGTGAGGGAAAAAAAGCATGATTAGGATGTTAAAAAAAAACTAAGTGAAATTACATTTTTTTCCCACATTTAAGCAAAGTTAGCACATTAAAAACCAGAGGATTTACTTATAATTAATCAGACATTTTTCCAGTGCCTGTGGTGTAATATTGTTCATGTTTTTCATAGACTGGGAATCAATATGATTTAATAACTGGACTTAATAGAAGTTGGAGTAAGAGGTAGAAGAAATGCAGGGAATGCAATTGCTCTTGGCCATATTGCGATTTTGCATTTCTTTGAGGACACCTTGGATTGTTCTGAATTCGCTCTGTGGTCACACTGGTAGTCTCATCTTAATGCTACAGTCTCCCTCTTCCCTAACCCCCCATTGTTTTTATTAGGCTAGTATCAATAAAAGGCTCAATGCTGACTTTAATTTGATGCTAAATTTAAGGACATTAAAAATGTCTTGAAATAAAAAGAACTGAAGCAAATACAGTATCAATTTTGAAAAAGAGAGCAAACCTCTTCCATCTGAATTTTTTTGTTTTATTTAATGCTTCCTTATAAGGCTTTTAGGTACATTAAAAGGCCTTGAATAAAATTTCCCTAAATAATTAGCTCCAGCTAATAAATTAGGTTAATTAAATCCCCATATAGTTTAAAGCTTAAACATTTTAAATTACATTTACAACTTTTTTTTTTTTTTTTATAACTGATTCTTCCAAAGCTTTCAAAGGGTCATAATTAGGATAGTCTTAAAGCTTTCAAAATCTTTGCAGGCACTTAACTACTTGTAAAGCTAATAAATTCAACTTATACGTATAGTAAATAAAGTTTCCAAATTTTCAAGTACTGTTTGTGAACTTAAATTTTCAAATTAATTACAATTAAACATTTCAAATGAAAATCAGAAGGTTAATATGTCAAGTTCTGTTAAATGTTTCAGGAACCTTAAATATAAACATACACCGATAATCACATTAGTTATAAAATGTCTAGCCTAATAAAGTATGATCACCATGGGGTTGACTTACTTTGTCAATTTGAAATTCTTTTTTCTTCGTCTACCCAGGGTAAATCATCTAACTTACCAATTTGTTCCAATTCAGGGGAACAGATTTGCCATCTTGGATAGGCCAAAATGTCTGGGGCCTATCGGAGACTAAGATGCGGCCCTGGTTTGCTAAATACTTGTAGGATGGTTGGCACATAGCACAGAGGAGCAAACTTGGCCTTTCCTTTGGTTCTTGTACTGCGTCAACAGAGGGCAGCAAGCTGTACTTTGGCTCAGGGTTTAGTCACACAGCACTGTGGACCACACAACCTTTCAGCATTTTTAGAACTATCCTGCACAGATTTTAGGGTTGTTTTTTTGTTTTGTTTTGTTTTTTTAACCTCTTTCAACATTTTGTAGTCTTCATTTGGGTGAATATAGTTCAGTACCTATAACTAGTTTGAATATCATTTCTTTTCCTCCTTGAAGTGTTACCTTTGGTTTCTGCATCTGTTCCTATTTTATGGATTAGGCCATGATTCAGTAGTCTCTCTATTGATAAACTCACAATTCATTAGGCATCATTTTAATAAACGTAATGAAACAATTGCTACTACAGATGATAATGCAATCTGGATTATAGGAAAGGCATGACTTCCTGAAAAGTGAACCAGTCAGGAAGGGCCCAATCATGCTGTAGTAACAACCAACCTGAGGATCGTCTGGGTTTAGATCCACAAAGGTTCATTTTACTCATGCTCCATGTGCATCTCAGGTCAGCGAGGGCTCTGCTCCCTGTTTTCCGCTCTGGGGGCCAGGCCATGACGAATCACAGTGGCAAGGGCAAGGGAACTCGAGGATCCTGCCAGCTCTAAGCAGTCCCTCCCCAAAGTGACACACTGACTTCCTTCCACTCACCCACCGTGGTGATGCCAAGTCTACTCAAGCCTTAAAGCACTTGTGGTCAATTATGGGGTTTTTTTTTTGGTGATTTTCCCTAATACTCATTATAGGATTTTAATAGGAAATAAGTTCAAATAAACATACAGAGTGGTTTCACATGTATCACGTGTAGCCCTGACAAGCATTCTCTCACCATTTGCAGGTGAGTAAGCAAACCTAGAGGAAGTAACTTGCTCTGAATGTTTTCATGGTAAAGTTTCTTAATGGGAGATGTTGCTTGAACTGGCTTCTTGAATTTCTACCATTTATTTGAAAAGAAAAACAACTTCAGCAGGCCAACTTGGAATTTAAGTTTTGCGTGTTTTTGTTTTTTTTTAAATCCTCATGTGAGGATATGTTTTCCATATGAGGATTGAGCCTGCAACCACAGCAGATGCCCTTGACTGGAATCGAACCTGTGACCCTTCAGTCTGCGAGCCAACGCTCTAACCACAGAGCAAAACTGGTGAGGATATGGAGTTTGAGCTTTTAATTAATTTTTAAGTAGGATTGTGAGCAGTGTGTTGTTAAAAACATTAGAGACCTGGCTCAGATTTTGTGAATAAAATCTGAGCTCCATTAAATTAAAATGCGACCTCCATAAAAGGAGAACCTTGATGCTCCTCCTCACCAGTGAACC